GATCGCAGCTGTGAGTGTGGCAGGTAAGAGTGAAAAAGGGGGATAGAGGGGCGGCAGTTGTCTCTGGGGAGCTGAGCTTGTTGAGCGTTACCGGGCTAAAGCCCAGCCAAGCAGTGGTTATTGTGCACTCGATCTCGGGGGGGGGGTGTTCGCACGCTGTTTAGGGCTGCCGGCGGCGAAGATAGTCAGCGGGGAGCAGGGAGAGGTTCCTGAATCCGACAGGGACACGGGGAGGATAGTGGGGACCATAGGAGTGCTTCTGTCTGCTCTCCAGCCTGTGTAGAGGCTCTCCTGTAGCCTGTGGAGTTGCCTCGCTGCTCTGGACTGGCCAGTTCCCCCACCACAGTTACTGCCAGTGGCCATCCTGCGCCACAGCTCAGACCCTGGGGGAGGGTCTCAAACCCTGGGAGAGATAAGTAGCTTTTAAACATCATTTGTCTGTGTGTTAAAGTGTTTTCTTGTGTGTGTTATTGTTAGTGGTTTTAACCAGAGCAGCATTTCACTCTTGAGCCGAGCGTGCCACAGGCGTATCCACAGGTGCCTTAGGGGGCCCATAGCCCACAGTGTGTTTTGATGTGTTTTGTAGTGCAATATGGTGACGTGCCCTGCGGGGGGTTTATCCTCAGTGTGAGTTGCAGTGTGTTTACTGAGTTGCAGTGCAGTGACAGTTTTGCAGTGCCTTATGGGGGTCGTTGGCCTGTGCCCTTACGTGCATGTTACTGGTCCACAGGTGGTTCTGAGGAGAAGCCTAGGGTTCATTCAGGATCTCATCTGCTAGTGGAGCTGTTCCTTAAATTAATTTAATGCTATGAAATAAAGATTGTTACATTCATCATACTTTTTTTTTGTGACGTCTTTTAAGTGGCAAATTTGTCAGAGCTGGAAAGTGTGATTGTCCACAGCTCCATAATCACGGCCCTGTTGATGCTTCCTCATCCAATAAACGTGTCCCCTGGATGAAACCTTTGAGCTTGGGGAAAAGGAAACAATCCCAAAACACCTCCCTACTCACCTAACCTGGCTCCAGGTGATTTTTGTGGCACCAGGTGAGTAGGGAGGTGTTTTAGGATTGTTTCCTTTTCCCCAAGCTCAAAGGTGTCATCCAGGGGACACGTCTGGATGTGGAAGCATCAACAGGGCCGTGATGATGGAGCTGTGAAAATGTATGTTGTCACAAAAACAACCCCTTAATACTTGTTATGATTTCCCAAAGCTTAGTTAACATTTCTCACCTGTGTGCTGGATGTATGGGATCCAGCAGACTGACCCGACCGACTGGATGCCATCATCGCAAGCAAAACGGACACTACGCTGCGTTCACAGTGCTATGTGGACATCGGACATATCAGCACTTAAAGCCACAGTGTGTAGGAATTTCTCCCATCTAACGTTGAAATCATATATTGTATTCAAACAGATGGTGCACTCTAGCGCCTCACTGTTACACGTATTGCAACAACTGTAGCCGCTGTGTACCAAAAAGCTATGATAACACTGATGAAACCATGTCATCCGATACTACATGGAGTATTCATTCAGGCTCCTACACAGACACACACAACGCGAGTTGACAAACCCCCTCCTCACCATGCTGGCTGTGTTTACAACGTAGGACTGTTGGGGCGGATGTAAATTGAAACAAACCAATCACGTCTTGTCCTTTGACAACTGACAAGTGGCTCAACCTCACACACCTCATCCCTCTCCTCGCATTACTGC